ATATGCCCACAGATGAATGCAGAATTAGTGATAGGAAGGAAGAAGGTAGGATCTCGAGGATAAATGATGGTGCTTAGACATGTAACTCCACTGGGGAGAACATCAGAGGCCCTGGAAGGGTTCAGGGGAACGGTGGGGGGCCAGCCATATGAAGCTCCCTGCTTTTTCCAGCTTCTGGGCTTCCACACAATTATCTGCCTATCCAAATGCCCTCTGTTCTTTCCTTCTCTTCTCTTCTGCATCCCAGTCCTTTGCTGTCTTTCAGCCCTGTTCAAGAGTTGCTTCCTGGAGTAAGTGGTATTTCACCTGGTTCTAATTAGTCTCATTTCGTATATTCTTCAGTGCCTAGACATAGAAAATGGAGAAATAATTGGCACTTGGGAAAGTACTTTGTGAACTGTAAAGCTGTTTATAAATTCTTGCTTCTATGTTGCTTTTTTTTTTTAGATGGAGTTTTGCTCCTGTCACCCAGGCTGGAGCGCAATGGCATGATCTTGGCTCATTTCAGCCTCTGTCTTCAGGGTTCAAGCAATTCTCCTATCTCTGCCTCCTGAGGAGTTGGGATCGCAGATGTGCGCCACCACCCCAGCTTTTTTTTTTTTTTTTTTTGACGGCCTCTCACTCTGTCGCCAAGCCGAAGTGCAGTGGTGTCATCTTGGCTCACTGCAACCTCCAACTCATGGGTTCAAGTGATCCTCCTGCCTCAGCTCCCAAGTAGCTGGGATTACAGGCATGGGCCACCATGCCCAGCTAATTTTTGTATTTTTTAGTAGAGATGGGGTTTCACCACATTGGCCAGGCTGGTCTGGAACTCCTAACCTAAGGTGATCCACCTGCCTCGGCCTCCCAACATGCTAGGATTACAGGCATGAGCCACCTCACCTAGACCTCTATGTTGCCTTTTACACACTCTTGCATATATGACACTTCTAGAGTCAAGAACTGATGGTCAGAGGGAGGAGTATTTCCACTTCCTGCTTCATGTCCCTTTTTCAAACCTCCTGGAATCCACTGCATGTTCTGAGGCACGAGCTGACATCACACACAATAGCAACACTTTCAGACTTCGACATTTATGTGTACTTTATTAGTATCTCAGAACACTCTCCACTCCATGCCAAGCCAACTGGCATGTTCAGTCTTCCCTGGAACATGTGGTACATAGTGAGAAGGGGTGAATAGCTTCCACTGCTGGGAGACCTTACGCATTAAATGTTGGGAGACAGTTCTCCACGGTCTCTTACATTTCTGCACATCTTATAATCAAAGATCCTGATAGCTTTTGTTCCAGATTCTCTTTTCAAGGATGTTCATATAGTGAATAGACTTGAAGACAGAGATATTGTTTCCCTCTGAGGCAAAGAGCAGATTTGTTTGCTAACAAGTGTAAGAAAGACAATGCCCCCACCCCAGGACAAAGTTTGGGCAGATTTGCTTGCATCCCCTTGTGAAAACTGGTATTTCCTAAGCTCGAAGTTCCTCAACTATGATGAAAATCCATGACACGTGCATTATCTACCTGGGCCACTCTGCATGCTGCTGTGGGACTTAGGGGTAAGGAGTACCAATACAAATATGCTGAAGTTCATGCTGCTTGCTTTGCTGTGAGTCATTAAGTCCTTTGTCTCTGATCCAGGAGTCTCATAACTTCTGTCAGCATCCATGCAATTGTGGCAGGCTAGCTTGTTAGCTAGCAGGTAGAGTAAATCTCAGACCTTGACACTTAACAGTTCTTGACATCAGAGTACACATAATAGAGTATACATGCCTCCCCTCTGAAACACCTGTTCCAGCCCCTCTCATTCTCCCTGTCCAAAGTACTTCCTCCTGTCATACTCTTGATTATAAGACCCACTGCTTGTGATGGCACAATACAAGAGAGGCTGAAGATAAATGTAATTAAGTGAGTAATCTGAGTGCTAGACACCAATTTCTGTCAGAACCAGCCATGCTGAGAGGATAATGATATTAATGATAGCAGCTTTTGCTCTGAAGGGAAATCTTTTCAGAGATGTCCTTTTCCCTATAGAGCTTCTCTCCTCCACCACCCTTGCTCACTCCTCATGACTATTTTCTTGCTCTCTGGAATGTTCATATCCTCTAATCCAGTATCTCTATTGCAAAATCTGAATTATTTGGAGGGCTTTTAAAACATACAGACTCTTCCCTCCCTCACAGACTACTGAATAGTCTCTGGTGGTGAGGCCTAGCAATCTACCTTTTTAAAAAAGTGCCCCAGGTGATTCTTGAGTATGCTTAAATTTGTTCTAAATGCTGGGGGCTCAACTCTAGCTGCACATAAAAACATGATGCCTGGCTACAGCCTGAAGAGTCTCAATAATTGTTCTAGAGTAGGGCCCACACATGGATTTTTTTGTAAGCTTGTATGTTATTGCTTTGCTTCATTTCTGGGGTTTTAAAAAATGTTTCCCTAGGAGATTCCACTTGCAGTCAGGGTTGAGGACTTCCAGTTTATCTACCCTATTGGGAGCAGTAACCAGGTGAAAATGCATATATTGAGGACTTTTCCCTAATATTCCTTTGCTACAACATCCTAATTGCCCTTCAACAAAGCCATTTAGTCTTCCTCCTTCAAATATAAGTCTTAAAATCACTCCCTACCTTGTAACTCTCTAATAATCACTTACAACAGAAATCTACCCCCACAGTATAGACTTAATTGGCCTGTTCCCTTTCTTTTATTTCACCTTGGCACTCTAATTAATCCATTTATAGTTCATCTATCCATCAATCCATGTGTACCTTGCTTAAGATACTTTCAGAAACAACTGGGTTTCTCCTGGCTGATTACTCTGCCATTCATGGCCTCCCTCCTCTCTGCCCCTCCCCATAGCATCCAGATCTCCAGGGGGAATGGAAGCTTAGGTGAAGATAGCCTTCCATACCAGATGCTTAGCAACTTCTGCCAGTAGAGAGTGAACACCTGCTGAAGATCCTTGCCTCACCTTCCTGACACGTGCCCTGTGTTTGGATGGTGTATTAGCCTGTTCTCAAGATGCCAATAAAGACATACCCTGGCCAGGCACCATGGCTCACACCTGTAAATCCCAGCACCTTCGGAGGCTGAGGCAGGTAGATTACCTGAGGTCAGGAGTTCCAGACTACCTGGGCCAATATGGCAAAACCCCACCTCTACTAAAAATGCAAAAATCAGTTGGGTGTGGTAGCTGATGCCTGTAATCCCAGCTACTCAGGAGGCTGATGCAGGAGAATCACTTAAACCTGAGAAGCAGAGGTTGCAGTAAGCTGACATCGAGTCACTGCACTCCAGCCTGGGTGACAGAGTAAGTCTCTGTCTCAAAAATAATAAAAGATAAAAAAACAAAGATACTGCAATCTACATGTCCAGGTCCTAATTACTGTGTCTTTCAGAAAGATACCTCACCCACACCAAGGTGAGCCCTGAGCAATGCTGCCAAGTCATCAAGATCCACCTTCAAAATAAATCACCAGCATAATTCAGTATCATTCCCATCTTCTACCCCTCCCCGCAACTGGGGAACAAGTGTCCCATCACTCCTGTCAAAAACCCCACTGAGGAGGAATTGGATACACTCAGGCTTGGAAGACTAATGAGGCCTCAGGAGCAAAACATCTTAAGTCAAAGAAATGAGTTACTTTAATGGTTGAAATTTGGGCTGTTTAACTGAAAGGAATGATTCCCTAGGAGAACTGTGAGAGGGTTTTTATTCCTAGAGAATGAGGAACATGTTCATCGGTCTTAGCTCCTCCCTGATGAACACATAAACTGGAGAAGTTGTAGATCTCCATATTTCAACCAGTAAATAACTGGACACCTGCTCAGGACAGGCTCTGGTTGGGCACTGTGTGAATTCAGTAGCATATAAGACAAGGTCTTGCCTCTAGAACTTTCCATAAAAGAAAATCACACTTTACGATTTTTTAAATAACATCTGTTACTCATTTGCTAAGCATGCTTCTAATCATCTTTAACATATTCACTCATTTAATCCCTACTACAACCCCAGGGAGTTTGCTGCTGCTATTACCCCATTTTTCAACTGGGAATGCTGAGGGACAGAGAACGGAAATAACAGAACCAGGACTGAACTCGGGAAGCCTGGCTTGAGAATCCGTGTCCCTAACCAGCGGGGTAAATGTCTTCAAGAGACCCCTAACACACAATACCCAGGCATGCTATCCTCTTAAGGGCGTCCCCATCAGAGACTGCATTATTCTAACGGCATGGTTGTTGCTCAAAGGAGTCCTGTATCCTCTCTCTAGCAACTTTCCCTCAGGGTCTTATGAAGATACTACACTGAAAACATCCTTTTTCTCTGATGAAGCAACCATGGTAAATAAGCTGGACCCTGAAGCCAGGTAACCTGATTCTAGCTCACCAACAAAGTGTGAATCTAACAATTCCCTTGCTGCTCCTAACCTGATTCAGAGGGCAGTTCCCTTGATGCGGAGGCAAATCCCACAGGTCTCTCTCTGTCTCCCAGCAACTGGCACCACACAGCACCTGCCTACTGTACTGAACCTGCTTGTAAATCAGGTCAAAACAAGTATACCAGTGGCCTTGACAATGAAAGAGGAGGGCAGTGAGAGTAAAGGAAGGGCACTATCACCCTCTCAGAGCTAGACTGACAAATGACCCTTGAGTGGCTTTGGTCTACCTCAGATCCTCTTCTCCCTCTCCTCACCTCCCTTGCAGGTTTATGACGCAGCTCCCCAGAGCAAGGCAGAAGACAATTGGTACTATCTATGCACCAGGTTTGCCTGAGTAGAGGGCATCTCATAGTGAGACTCTGATCAGAGGAACAGGAAGGAGCACACTCTGGAGCAATTACTGGTCACCACCAGATAGACCTGCCAAGGCAGGCAGGTCCTCGGCCTTGGAGGATCATAGTGGATAGAATCCAGCGTAGAAGCCCCACAATCACAGCGTTTTAAAAATATATATACTTTAAGTTCTGGGGTACATGTGCAGAACGTGCAGATTACACAGGTATATATGTGCCATGGTGATCTGCTGCACCCATCAACCCATCATCTACATTAGGTATTTATCCTAATGCTATCCCTCCCCCCGCTCCCTATGCTCCCCAACAGGTTCCAGTGTGTGATATTCCATTCCCTGTGTCCATGAGTTCTCATTGTTCAACTCTCATCTATGAGTGAGAACATGTGGCATTTGGTTTTCTGTTCTTGTGTTAGTTTGCTGAGAATGATGGTTTCCAGCTTCATGTCCCTGCAAAGGACATGAACTCATCCTTTTTTATGGTTGCATAGTATTCCTTTGGTGTATACGTGTCAGATATTCTTTACCCAGTCTATCATTGATGGGCATTTGGGTTTGTTCCACGTCTTTGCTATTGTGAACAGTGCTGCAATAAACATACATGTGCATGTGTCTTTATAGTAGAGTGATTTAGAATCTTTTGGGTATATACCCAGTAATGGGATTGCTGGGTCAAATGGTATTTCTAGTTTTAGATAATTAGAGCTTTAAGAAAAAGACAAAGGCGGCAGGGAAGAGAGGAAGCCCATGGTGGTCCCTTTTCTAACTAGAAAGGGACAGAAATTCAAGGAGCTTAGAGTAAGTAGGGGGCCCAAGAACAAGCTTTGGCCTGAAGCTTGAGATAAGTTTTGGTAGTTTGTTGCATTTTTAAAGACGCCATAAATGGAAGTCAGGCGCAGTGGCTCACGCCTGTAATCACAACAATTTGGGAGGCTGAGGTGGGCAGATTGCTTGTGCTCAGGAGTCCGCGATCAACCTGGTCAACATGGCAAAACCCTCTCTCTACTAAAAATACAAAAATTAGCCAGGTGCGGTGGCATGAACCTGTAGTCCCAGGTACTTGGGAGGCTGAGGTAGGAGAATCACTTGAGCCAAGGAAGCAGAGGTTTCAGTGAGGCAGGATCACACCATTGCACTCCAGCTTGGGCAACAGGAGCGAAACACTTTCTCAAAAAAAAAAAAAAAAAAAAAAACGCTCCATAAATGGAAAAATGAAGATGGTTGCTAGCTATACCCAACTGGCTACTCCTCTTCATCATTTAAACGCAATCCCTGCATTCGGGCTTATCGCCACCCATCTGCCCTGTCTCAGACATACTATGACTGTATACAAATCGCTATTTGTTCATTTTTTTCATTCAACAACCATTTACTGTGTACCCAGCATATGCCAGGTGATAAGAATACAAAATTAGCTGGAAAATACATAGTTTGAGTCTTCAAGGTTCCTCTGGCCTATTGGAGTAAGTGAATAAAAGAACTAAAATATAAACATGAGTGCTACAATTTAGATCTACATGATATAATTATAGAAGTGAGGGTAGGAGAGTCAGGAAAGGCTTCAAAGGGCAGTTGAAAATTGATACGTGTCTTCGGGAATGTGCAGCTTTATTTCAGCAGTGGGGAAAGAATATGATAGGAGAAGATGTATGCATTACTGTCCTGCGGAGCTAGAACACAGGGGAAGAGGCTGGGGATCAAGGTAGAGCTTTGCTAAGGAGTTGGGAATTTATTCTATAGACTTACTACACAAACACTGAGAAGTTTAACTCAAAGAAATAACATAAGATTTGCATTTTTGAATTATAATACCTAATGCTTATGTAATACTTACATTCTTCTAAGCTCTTCACCCATATTAATTCATTCCATCCTTGCAACAACTTTATGAGGAAGTATTAGAACTAACCTCACTTTACAGATGAAGACATAAGGGCACAGAGAGGTTAAGTGACTTGCCCAAGGTCACAGAGCTACAAAGTGGTAGAGGCGAATTAAAATCTAGACCCATGTGACTCTAGAGCCAAAATGCTCACACTATGCTCTTTCTAGCATCCATGCCTTGCTCAGTTTGTCTAGACTGGAACAATCTTCCTCCTTTTCTGAGAACTCCACCCTGTTTTTTAAGCAGCAGCTCATCTGCCACTTCTACAATTTCTTCAACATATAATTGCCCCTTTTTCTGTTCCCATAGCACATAACTATGGTGATTATGGCAATCATCCCTACATTCTGATTTGTTTTTATCTTTCTTGACCTACAGGATTCTGAAGGAGCAGGTCCATGTTTTAAGTCCATAGTCCTTCCCCAACACATTTCCTGGAACAAAAATGTTTATTAAATGTATACAAAAATTAATGAACACTTTAAAACAAAAATGCCCTATGTACTAGTTTGCTAGGACTGCCATAACAAAATATCACAGACTGGGTGGCTTAAACCACAGAATTTTATTTTCTGTTGCTCTGGAGGCTGCAAGTCCAAGATCAAGGTTGAGCAGCGTTGGCTTCCTCTAAGACTCCGCCCTTTGGCCTGCAGATAACAGATGGATGCCTTCTTGTTGCTTCCTCATACAGTCATCCCTCTGTGTCCCATGGTGTCTGATATAGTTTGGATATTTGTCCCCACTTAAATCTTATGTTGAAATATAATGCCCAGTGTTGGAGGCAGGGCCCGGTGGAAAGTGTCTGGATCATGGGGGAGGATCCTTCATGGCTTGGTGCTGACCTTACAACAGTTAGTTCTCATGAAATCTGGTTACTGTAAAGTGTGGCACCTCCCTGGCCTCTTGCTCCCACTCTCACCATGAGAGATGCCTGTTACCTCTTCACCTTCTGCCATGATTGGAAGCTTCCTGAGGCCTCACTAGAAGCAGATGCTGGCACTGTGCTTTCTATACAGCCTGCAGAATCATGAGCCAATTAAACCTCATTTCTCATAAATCAACCAGTGATTATAAAATTGCCCAGTAATTAATTAAATTATAGCAATGCAAGAATAGCCTAACACAGTCTCTCTCCATGTGCCCTAACAATCTTCTCTTCTTATAAACGCCATCAGTCAGACTGGGTTAGGGCCCACCCTAATGGCATCATTTTAACTTAATCACCTCTTGAAAGCTTTATCTCCAATTACAGTCACATTCTGAGGGACCGGGATTTAGGACTGCAACATATGAATTTGGGGAGGGCACAATTCAGTTCATAATGCCCTGTATGTAATAAACAAATACTCAATATTTTGAACTTTCAGCTCCTCTTCCCCATCATTTTCTTTTTCTTTTTCTATGTTTTCAGTATGAAAATATTTAATGAGGAAGAACAGCTGTGAAGACACGATTTTGGTCAGAATAGATGAGCAGCACATGGAACCCAGGCAAAAAGCACATCTTTCAGGACTGGAGGCTGATAGTGAGATGCTTAAAGAGGCACCAGATGAAGCCAGATGGGTCTGGGCCACCAGACCCCTCCATCTCCTGAGTCTTTTTTTGGTTAATGCTCCCTGTCTGCAGCAAGGAGACTCTGGGAAGTTTCCCAATGATCCTCTCTCCTTGAGCATATACTGGTTTTGTAGCTTGCTTCTTAACCAGTATAATATGGCAAAGGTATGGGATATCACTTCTGTGACTAGGCTATGTATGACTGTGGCATCCATCTTGCCAGAGGATTCTCTCTCTTGCTGGCTTTGATGAAATGAGCTACCATGTTGGAGATGCCCACATAACAAAGACCTGAGATCAGACTCTGCAACAAGAAACTGAAACCCTCAGCCCAAAAACCCTTGAGGAACTGCCAACGACCATGTAAACTAAGTCAGCCTTTTCCATGTAGGTCTTCACATGAGACCCCAACCCTGGACAATATCTTGATTGTAGCCTCCTAAGAGACCATGAAGCAGAGAACCCAGAAAACTGTGTCTAAATTCCTGAACCACAGAAACTGTCAGACAATAAATGTGTGTTATTTCAAGCCATTAAATTTTGGAGTAACTTGTTGCACAGCAAAAAATAACTAATATACTTCCCTAAAAGTCCTCTAACCTCCAAATATTTGCTGCCCTATTGTTTTAACTTCTGACCAACTAATATATTCCAGCATCCACATTTGTATTTAATTCCATTAGGATAATTTTATATTGTATATAATTTTCATCAGCTTGATTTTGCCTACTGCAAAAGGATAGAGTCACTATAAAGGCACTCCAGGGACACTAACAGTCAATATGGAAATATCAAACTTAGGGTGGTAACAAGATGCTCATCCCTGGTCTGCCACAGTATCACTGTACCTAAAATACATGGGAATACTCACTCTCCCACTTGTCTTGGCTTCTCTTTTCTATTTCCTCCCTCCCCATCAGAGAAGAGATGCTGTGCTCCTGTCCCTCCTAGGAACCACTTCCCACTATAAACAGTGTTGCATAGCACATTCATATCTGTCCTAAGCCTTTCTGCCTCCCTTCTTTTCTCCAATTCCTTACAAACAACTGCAGCAAAAGTTTCCTCTCTCTCCCCTCCACATTCTCCTCCCTGCTTTGCTCTGTTTTAGAGCCAAAAATAATCCTAATCATAGCAGATAAGAGCAAGATTGGTGCCAGGGATTTACACCTGCATCAGGAAAAAGGGAGAGCCATGTATTTTGTAGTAAATTAGAACTAATAACGAACCAAAGCCAGCAACTTTTAAAGCCTTTAAAAGTACCCCAAACCTTACCTCCTCATCCTCTAATGTAATTTAACCTGCTTCTGATCATGAGCAGCTTTCTGGAAGAAACAGGACACTTGCTTGCTGTGGTTTTTGCTATGCTTATTATTAAAACAATGTTGCACTCTCCTTTGTGTTTTTCATTGTAACTTATTAGTTATTTTGGGTCTAGCCTGGGAATGTTTAACAATCATGCATAAATGTGGATTTTTAGAAATATGCAAGTGTAGTCTCTGTTGCCCAGGCTGGAGTGCAGTGGTGAGATGTCAGCTCACTGCAACATTTGCCACCCAGGTTCAAGTGATTCTCATACAACTCCACCTCCCAAGTAGCTGGGATTACAGGTGCACATCATCACGCCTGGCTTTTTTTTTTTTTTTTTTCCCCCATAGAGATGGGGTTTCTCCACATTGGCCAGGCTGGTGTCAAATGCCTGAGCTCACGTGATCAAGTGTGAGCCACCACTAGAAAAGCACAAGAGTAGTTTTGACAGCTGACTTATTAATGGAATTTTAGATATAATACACTTGTAAGTTGGCATCAGATACATAGAGTGAGGAACAGTGTTGTTCATTACAGGAAGTGAGGTGAGAGACAGAAATGAGTAAATGTGGGCAAGGGGCTACACTGAACTGGGAGGAAGGACAGAAGAGAGAGAAGTAGGCTGTGTGGGAAAAGACAACCAAGGGCAGGGGCATAGGAGGGCAATCTTTACCGAGTAGCTAATACATGAGGGACACTGAGAGACTTCTCATTTGTTGTAGTGAATCCTTATGAGTCCCATGAGGGGGGTCGTCTTCTTCCATTTAAAAGAGGTAACGGCTGCTTCTTAGAGAGTGTATCTGATCTGCTGAAGGTTACACAGCTGATAAGTGCAGGGCCAACATTCCAACATGAGTCTCTCTGAAGATCTAGCAAGGACCTTCTTTTCTTTTCCCTTTTTCTAGGTTAGGGAAGAGAGAGAGGTGTAGCTTACTCTATTTTTCTTGATGAAAGCTAGGGAAAGGCAACACTGAAGCACAAGAGTAAACTAGCAGAGGAACTCTGGGGAACCAGAAGGTTTTATTTCCCAATGGAAAGGTCTGTGGCCTTCAAGGTAAGAACTGGAGGGCTGGAGACAACAGGTCTAGAAGTGCTCAGGAGCACTAGAAAGAGAAAGCCAGGCACTCTTTGGCAGGTGAGAAATAGAATAGCCCCAGTGGGGAAAGGCAAAGGCAAGGTCAGCAGCTGAGAAGAGCCACAGCTATGAAACCAAGAAATGCTGAACATACCCCCACCACACACGCAGTTACCCCAGGCTCAAGCTCAGCATCGATCTGATCAAAATTTGCATCAGTGATTATGGTTAGGGGACAACTGGTAAAAAGGAAGCTATACAACTATATATCTTGAGCATCTGTTTCTTTAAAATGTTTGCTCAGAAAGAATTATAGTAGTCTTCCCTTATCCACAGTTTCACTTTCTGCGATTTCACTTACTGGCAGTCAATCTCGGTCCAAAACTCAGTAAGTACAGTACAATAAAATACTATGAGAATGAGACCATATTTGCATAACTTTTATTGCAGAATAGCCATGTACTGCATAAGAACGTTTTAGTGAATGACAGGCCACATATATCATGGTGGTCCCATAAGATTATGATGGAGCTGAAAAATTCCTACCACCTAGTGACATCATAGCTGCTATAACATTGTAGCACAACACACGCATTACTCACATGGTTGTGGTGACGCTGGTATAAACAAACCTACTGCACTCCCAGTTGTCTAAAAGTATAACACATGCAATTAAGTACAATGCATATTTGATAATGATAATAAATGACAGTGTTACTGGTTTATATATTTGCTAAAAAATATATAAACTGGTTTATATATTTGTTTTATATATTGTTTATATATATTTATATATATAAACAATATATACATATATTGGTTTATATATTTTTATATATATAAAAGTTAACCGTAAAACAGTCTAAGCAGGTACTTCCTTCAGGAAATATTCTACGTGGAAGCATAGTTATCATAGGAGACATCAGCTCCACATGTGTTATTGCCCCTGAAGACCCTCCAGTGGGACAAGATGTGAAGATGGAAGACAGTGATAGTGATGATCCTGACCCTGTGTAGCCCTAGGCTACTGTGTTTGTGTATTTGTTAAAAAAAAAAAAAGATTTAAAGGTTTTTAAAAAAATTTTTTAAGAAAAAACTTATAGAAGAATATAAAAATATTTTTGTGCAGCCATACACCTATTTGTGTTTTAAATTATTACAAAAGAATCTATCAAGTAAAAAAAGGTTACAGTAAGCTAAGTTTAAACAAAAAAATTATTTTTTTTGGAGACAGGTTCTTGCTCTGTCACCCAGGCTGGAGGGCAGCAGTGTGATCATAGCTCACTGTAGCCTTGAA